CCCCAAAACCCCAAAACCCCAAAACCCCAAAACCCCAAAACCCCAAAACCCCAAAACCCCTTCTTGAGCCGTTTAGAACAAAATCTTCTTTAAAATAAAATGGAGAAGTTTCCTTCATGAGTCTTTCTTTTGTATGCAATAGATGTAGAAGAAGAATTAAAGGATAAGGCTATAAGATGACATTTTAGAAAAAAATTAGAATAGTTTAGAAGCTACAATTTTGATAAAAATCTGAGGTATTGAGATTTGAATTGTTTTTATTCGTAAAAATTGTGGAGTATTATTAGACAAACGCTGCTTCAACTTGTATACAATAGTTTCTGCTTAATTAGTTAGAAAAATAATCTATAAGAACTAACAAGTGTCAAAATGATTGGTTTTGTTCGAGAAAGCTTGATGAATTGTACTGATTTTTTATTTTAGTTTATAAAATTCTTCCGAATACAACCCAAACTACTGCTGTTCGACTGCTATGATCATATTTGCATCCGCATTAGAGGAGAGAATATTGGTGACATTATATTTGAAAATTTTTATGATTCAAATGATTAACGGAATCTAACTCCTGAATCGTATTTGAATTCTATCAACGATTAGAAGAGTTTCTTCTGAATGTTATCAAACTTCTTTCCAGTCTTTGTCAACAATGACTTGTGGATGTGTGGGATCACACCACCACCAGCAATGGTAGCCTTGATGAGTGAGTCAAGCTCTTCATCTCCTCTGATGGCTAGTTGGAGATGTCTTGGAGTAATTCTCTTTACTCTCAAGTCTTTTGAAGCATTACCTGCAAGTTCAAGAACTTCAGCTGTGAGATACTCGAGGATAGCAGCTGAGTATACAGCTGCAGTAGCTCCGACTCTCTGAGTTGCACTGACTCTCTTCTTCAACATTCTGTGAATTCTTCCGACTGGGAACTATTGAAATGTTAATTGTCCAAAGAGTATTCCTCAACATACCTGAAGACCTGCCCTAACGGATCTGCTCTTAGAAGCCTTCTTTGACTTTCCTTGGCCGACTTTGCCGCCCTTTCCTCCTTTGCCTCCTTTTCCTGCTGCCTATATCCCAAATAAACTTCAAAATCCTTCTATTGAGTGGAAATGACGATTTGAATATTTTGACGGCTTACCATTTTTCTTTTAATTTTTAAGAAAACGATTATTTTTTAAATAGTTCCTAGTTTTACTGATTAAGACTGTATCTGAGCCTAAAATCCTATTTTTCAACTATTTAATTTACAAGGGGTTTTGGGGTTTTGGGGTTTTGGGGTTTTGGGGTTTTGGGG